AAAAATCCTTTCAAAAACTTACTTATATACAGTCCACTCCAAAAGTATTGGAACATGGTCAATTTTTTTTGTTTTTGTTGTTCACTGTAGACGTCTGGGTTTAAGATCAAGACAAGAGTTCAGAATTTCAGTTTTTATTTCCTGGTAGTTAGATTTAGATATATTAAACAACTTAGGACATACCACCCATTTTTCAAGTGAGCAAAGCTATTGGAACATGTGACTGACAAGTGTTTCTTGTTGCCTTTTAGATTAACATTAAATAGATCTGAATGACTACCCTTGGTTTTAGCTTTGGGTTTCACCTGTAAATACTGTGTTTCTTGTTAAAAAGGATAAACCAACATGAAGATAAAAGAACTATAGGAGAAAAACATGCTATTGAGAAAAGAAGGAAAACCAATTAGAGCCATTGAACAAACATTGGGCATAGCCAACACATTTAAGATATCTTGAAATACTAAAGAGTAAATTTATTCAATAAAATTGTCATTAGCTTCAACCAAGACCTCCAGATGACTTAAGAATCTCCTGCAACTCTTTTAGATGGTCTCCTTGTTCAAGTAGATGAATGCTGCCATAATCCTTGCCTTCAGTTCATCTTTGGTGTTACAAGAAGTTTTGTAGCTGCTCAACTGTGCCCCACACATAATAATCACGGGGTTTTCAGTTTGGAGAGTTAGGTGGCCAGATGTAAGTGGTGAGGTGGTCACAGAAATAGCCCTGTCTGAGTTCTCCTGCTTGTGTAGCATAGTGCAGTCATGTTGCTAGACATATGCTCTTCCAGCAGCCACCCTCTTGACACAGGGCAGCACCATGTCCTCAAGGCACTTGATGTAGGCCTCCATATTGAGCCCAAGTCCACAGGGAAGATGAATGGAGGCATAACATGTGTTCACTCCAAACAACTTCGTAATCACCATTAGACTTGTCAAATTCTTTCCTAATCCTCTGCACTGTCCTCAGATTGACACCTAAACACTCTGAAATGTTTGTATTGGAGCTTCTGGTGCAAATGCCTAGCAGTATAGCATGCCGTTTCCAAATTTCTGGTGGCTTGAAATGTGTCATGATGCTCTTTTTCTAATAGACAGTACCCAACTGACCTTACTCAAAAACAAACAATGCGCATGCATAAAATTAGAAATATAAAATGGCGACAATTTACTTGTCACACCCTGTATAATGTGAGTGCCTTTTATATGTAATTTAAGTATTAATTGTGATCTTAAAACTTTAAGAAAATATTCTCTGTAATCCAATGTTTTATTGAATTTTAGAAATTTTGGCTTTAAATTTACTATAGTTATTGCTCTTATTTTCTGATGTTATGTATAGGGGTTTGTATTTATAAAAATGAGTATACAAAAAAAATTCAAAATTCTTTTCAAAATATTGGTGTTTGATGATTTGTAGTAAGATTTTCCATTTATGATTAATAAATATAGTTTCTACTTAATAATAGGGTGGAATTAATAACAGTATTTTAAATATATTTAAAATTTAAATTATTCCAATTAAAACAATTCTTGTAAAAATTCATTATTCATCCAATAAAAAAGAAATTTCTTTAGACAATAGTATCCTCATTATATCATATTTATAAAGCAATTAAAAACTTTTCTAATTAAATAATATCATAGTTTATTACATTTTTTATTTTACAATTCAGATTTTTGGTAAATGGTGTATCACAAAGTGATGAATTATCGAAAGAATCCTGCTTTTAACTAATATAAATAAAAAGAACATAGAATTTTAATTTCTTAAAATTTCATAAAATTATGTGGCTGTAGCAGATAAAAAAAAAATTTTAAAATAATTTAATTCATTTTAGAATAAATCCTAAAAAATTAATTAAAATTCAACAACTATTTGATTTTTGCAAGAATTTCCAAAACTACATGTTTTTAATGCCAAAAAAGATGCTAAAATTTCCCATACTAATCTTTGGCCCACTCAGTGACAAGAAAAACAAGATTTTTAATCAAAATTTTGAACATGCTAGAAAGATTAAAAAAATTTAATAAAATAATAAACACTTTGGTTTTTCCTTTTAATAACAAACATTTTGATGATGAAACTTGTTTTTTATCAAGAATATATTTTCTAATAAATGTAATATTTGTAATGGACAAATAATTTGGGTTTGAAATTTGATCATTTAGAGCATTAAACAATGATAGAAAAAAGGAATTTCCAAGAAATTGTATGATAGAAGTATATTCCGCTGTCTTTTAAAATATAACCTTAATTCTACTACTGTAATAGTACCCAATAAAATATTATATTTATAATATTATATTATATATATATAATTGTTTACATATGGACTGGCATTTCTGCCTGGAGTCAATGTGCTGCTCCCAGCACACTTGCTAAGGATCTGTGCAGTTGCCCTAACTTTGGATATGGGATATAAATAGTAATATTTCTTTTTAACTGGATTCTCATCTTCAAGAAAAAACACAGCAAAAATATAAATAAACAAAATAATAATGAAGCAAGGCTTGTTCTGGGGGTTCTCCGCTATAACAGTAACTCCCACATCACACTATAAAGAAAGGGCCAGTATCTTATGCTGTCTTTATGATATTGGCTATGAAGAATGGGAAAATTTTTTGTTCTAACTTAATTATGCATATGGACCTCCACATTAAACTGACCCTATGTCACAATCTCTACCATCATGTGGAGGTAGTTAATCAAATCAGCATAGTATCTGTATGTTCAGAGAAAAATATCACACACAAATACCCTGATATACAAAAGTTATGTGATAGTAGTATGTAAAGTTAATGGTTATATAACTTGTGTCACGGAAATGCCCAGACCTATATCAGTTGTGTTCTGATATCTAATGAAAGAGTAGGAACACTGGCAATGTATGCCAAACCTCTGAGTCTCATCTGGAGAGGTAGACAGCTACCCGACCCTGTGTATACGTGGAATTTTTGCCCAAGCCTATGGGCTCGGAAAGACACATGTTAAGCCAGCCTTGTGCCACATCCTGGTCTGTGGGGAGCTCTGGTAAATACTGAGTAAGAACACTGGCTCAGCTGCTCATAACAAGGGGATTTGAATTATCTGTTTAAATTGGACATGATAATGAATTCTTGATGGATAGGACATTCCATTTCTAAAATTGTGGGGTCATTTGACATCCCTTGATCTTCAGTATCATGTATGTATGAGAAATACCTAATAGAAAGAATTACTGCATACTGTGAACAGCAGGCTACAGGTGCTCAATGATTGTGACCAGAGATATTTGGCTAAAATTTGTCTTCAGTAACAGTCTTGCAACACTTACTCAAATGCCATCTTCATTCAATGCAGAAATACCAGAAATATTCAGTAGCCTTTAGATTCTATAGGATATGGGAGTAGAACGCCATGATTTTAGACACATCATGAGCCAAGGTTTCAAAATCAAAATATTTTGTATGCAATTTTATTATTGTTTTTTGAGATAATGGGTTTTTAATGCTACATGTCTTACTGATTAACCGATAGCTAGGGAGGGAAGAGGTGGATTCATACATTTCTCAAAGGTATTTGCATGTAAGTGAATAGAACAAACCCAACTTAAATTGGAACTCTGTTCACTGATTAACAATTCTAAGCCATTATCCATTATACTGGCCACATATCCAAGCTTACAGCACCTGGTATTCCAAAGTGGCCATCCATTTAGGTACTGACCTTAACTTCAGTGATTGTATGAAAACTGGTGTTTCAAGGTAATATAGTGTAATTTAATGAAGCACTGAACCCCAATTGTTGACAGACTATTATGCAGTCTGGTATTAGTCCTAGAATTAGCATAGGACATGTTCTTGTGGCATGGGTTGTGCCTTCTGGTCAATCTAAACACATTAATGACTAGTAGCCATTGTGTAGCACTGCTTCATAAGCCTTTTTCTTTCATTTATGGATACCACGTACCCCAATAAAGATGGGTTATCCCAGCAGTGATTATTCCACCAGGACAGCGATACCCTAAACTGCACAAAATTGATTTGAGGATCATTCTGGAGATTTCTGATGAATGGCATGCCCAAAATGTGCTTCCCAATATGAGCCTAATTAAGCATTTATGGGACATAGTCAAGATCCTGCACTTTGCCATCATGGAAACGATCTTACATGATACAAGGCCCCATCGTGGAGTGAACACACACACACACACATATATATATTAGTTTAAAGGTGTGCTATATTTATGTGATAAAGTGCTCAATATCAGAGATAGAGCATATGTAAATATAAAAGTGAACATTGAAGTCAACACTCTGAGGCGACGGGCTGTTTCATGCTAGACGCAATCATCAGGCCTGTCACCTCTGAGTATTGACTTCAATGTTCACTTATATATAATCTACTGAAGACTGTTCGAGATGAGATTGAAAGTACTTGGGGAAAATAAAAATTATTTGAAAATTTTTGGTATTTTTCTTGATCAATCTTTTGTGGCCACCAAGAAATTAATTCATGAACTTGAGAGGATTAAAACTAAAATAGACATAATACATCTAAATTATTTAAACTAACCTGCTTGAATGAAAATATTCTGCATATATATAATGTAAATATAAAAGTTTGTCACTTAGCTGATGTTCAGCACATCTCCAGAGTTTCATAGTCAAGCCTTTGTGCAATTATTCAGTTCACTTGTCGGGAGATAATTGTCTGTGGATTTTCTCATTTTTGTTATTTTTATATCAAACTAGAAGAAAATAATTTATGCATTTTTTTATTGGTGTTAGGTTGATTTTTTTTTTTTTTTTTATTTGTATGTGCATGATGTCATGGTATTCTGTATGCTGCAATAACTAAAATGCGTAGCACATGTAATTTCTGTGCGCCATGTTCCTTAATGATGTTGATGATCAGGCTCTCCATAATTTCCTATCATTTGTAGCTCTTACTAAATTTTGTCTTTTCACTATCTCTCCAAATTCCTGTTCTGCCATCCATTTACATAAACTTGGTAGGCTATGCATTGTTTTCCTCCTGTCTCTCGCCTGCCTTCCTTCCCTATTTCCTTCTTCTCCCTGCCTTTTCCCCTCTCTTCCATACCTTCCTATAATTCTCTCTCTCTCTCTCTTCCTTCCTTCCCTATTTCCTCCCGTCTCTCTCTCTCGCCTGCCTTCCTTCCCTATTTCCTCCCGTCTCTCTCTCTCTCGCCTGCCTTCCTTCCTTCCCTATTTCCTCCTGTGAGTGTCAAATTTTCTAAACCCTTTTCCCTCATTATATATCCTAGAAATTTCAACTTATGTTAAGTATGTATCCTTTTTGTTTCCATTTTCTCCAAGACTTTGTCATTGCTCACATGTTCAGTCCATGCTTTTGTTAAATCACATTTGCTTAAGTTTCTTAATCTGTGAGGAGAGTATCCAGCATTCACTGCCATATAGGAGGACTGATATTATGTAACTGTTCAGTATTCTTTTCTTTGTTTCTAATAAAATTTTCTTGTTTCTTAATACTTTGCTTAGCTTATATATAATTGATGGGTGGATACACATCACATATATTATAAAAAAAAAATGTGGATTGAGAAAATTTGATTTAATGTGCCATGTAGACAATTTTTAAATGAAAAAAAAAATTGTGGAACTGTTCTTGGAATTATTGTTAGTTTAAATTTAAAAAAAAAAAAAAAAGGAAGAATTATTTTATATAGAAACTTTGAAAATAAAGCTCACTTGAAGTTTTTACTTTATGTATGTGCTGTATTTTTATCCCACTGGCAAGCTTTTTTTCACCCTCCTAATTAGTTTTTTTTAAATGAGAGTCCATTAGTTCATTAATGAGGAATGATGAAAATTTCTTGGCCCAAAAAAAAAAAAAAAAAAAAAAAAAATTCTATCTACTCATATGGTCATGTTTTAGGAAGTGGGTTGGGCTGAGAACTTTTCAGCACCTTCAGTCATATTAGCAAAATGGTTTCTATTTGAAAGCCCAGCACTAATATTTTTTTAAACTTAAGCTCATTTTCAAATTGGGCCCAGAATTTAACCAGTAAGGAATTTCAAGATTCAGTAGCACTGAGCCTTCAAAAGTGACCCAGCATGGCAACCTTGGTCAGAGATATTTTGTTTCTACACTCAACATCAATAATAATTCATCTTAATTTTTGGAGATGGGAAAGTTTCATTATTATATGCCTTGCAATTCAAACAAACATGTTCATCTTGGTTGTTATGCTCGTAATCCTTTCAGCGGTTGTAATCTCCAGCCATTTTGAAATTGAAAAAACTATTCTTTTATTCAATCAACAAGGGTTGAGTGTTCTCATACTTTTCAAGCTTAGGTCATATATCCTATTAGGTAATAATTGCCAGTTTTATTCACCTTTGCATGTGAAAGCAGTGCTAAACAGAGGTTTCAAATTAGCAACCATCATCAAGTGGATCCCATACAAGTCCAGTAATAATCCACTAGAGACACCACCTCATGCACAATGCTCATTGTTGACACCACACTAGCCACCAGCCATGTCCAACCAGCCTGTACTGAAAAAAGATGCATGTAGCAAATGTATGTGCAACGAAGATGTGCACTGCCTCTGCGAATCCAAGTTAAGATGGAAAATGAGACACACACACACATCACAAGAGAAGAAAAACAGCTATTAAAACCATATAGAGTGATAATGATCAATTGATTTGTTTTTTTATGGCCTATCACCTTTTTACAGGTTATATAAAGCCAGATAATATTTTTATTTAGATTATAAGAATTTTTTTGGACATAATAATGACCTACAAGTTTTTCTAATTAACCCATAGCTGGAGGGAGAATGGGTGGAGTCATACCTTTCCCAAGAGTGAATATAATGAACCTGACTGGAATTGGAACTCAGTTCTTTGATTTCCAATTCCGTAGTCGTTATCTCTTAAACCACTCGCACATCCAAGCTTACAGCATCTGGTATTCCCAAGTGGTCACCCGTCTAGGTACTGACCAGGCTTGATGTTGCTTAACTTTGGTAATTGTACGATTCAACGTGAGTGATAATGAAATCTTCATACTTCCATCAGATTAGATCAATGCAACAGTGGTGATGGACAAGTTGGAATAATCTGGGAAATTAGCTAACCTGGTTGTGGATGTAAAGTAGAGAAAGAATCGATTCAGAAAGCAATGTCAAGTCTGATCAGTTACTGGATAGGTGACTACTTGGAAATAATAGGTGCTGTCAGTGTGGATGTGCAGGTGGTGTAATGGATAATAGCATGGAATTGTTTAATTGGAGAACCAAGTTCAATTTACCATTGTGTTTGTTATATTCACTTACGCACAAATACCCTCACGAAAGGTATGAATCCACCTCTTCCCCAACTATTGGTTAATTAGTAAGACTTGTATCACTAAATCATTATCTCAAAAAAAAAAAAAAAAAATTCTTTATCTAAGCTAGAAATATATTTTAGACTATCTGTAAACAGTTAAGCCATAAAAATGAATGAATGAGTGAATCAATCAATTCACAAAGATAGTGTTTCATTGCGACCCACAGTCAGTTGTTGAAGTTCGGCCTGTTACCTGCTGAGCAGATTCAATGCCCTGACAAGTTTCTATCCTTTGTAAAGGAATCCTACTCAGTTTGAGAACATAAGTGCCGGTATCCAGTCATACCAATTAGATGGTGCACTTCGATGTTATTAGCCTGTTCAATAAGGTTCCCACTGATAAGTTTCTATCAGTAGTTTGAGAAAGATTTGACAAGAGATGGCTCCAATTCTAATACACAAAGCTCTCAGTAGCTAAATTCATGAAGATGTTGTCCTTCTGTCTGCAAACAACATACTTACAATTAGGTTCCAACATATTAAGGCTTAGTTAAAAAAAATTGCAATTATATGCAGTAATGGCAAGTGTGTGTGTGTGTATATATATATATATATATATATATATATGTGTGGAATACTTTAAGGAAATGTTTATAGAAACCTTACCAGAAATCTAAACATATAGTTTATATAAATAGGGGACACCTTAATGTTTTGATTTCATCATCACTACCTCTAGAAAAACCTTTTCAACCTAAAATAATGTTCCAGTTAAATAAAGTGAATGATCTCCTGCAGTAATTAGACCTCACAAATGAATTTTCAACCTGGGATAAAAGATGTCTGAAATGTGTTTCAACACCAATTCTTAGAATCTTCATCATACTTGTTCTTAACTCTCTGTCTGCTGTCACCACTCAAAATGACCTTTATGAGTATATTTTAAATGTATTGAACCAGATTTCTTTTGAAACATTCTCTGATATTCCTTTGAAATTTGTCTTTGTAACATCATTAAATTTCAATGGTTCACGCAAATTTTTCTGTCTGTTATTATTTCAGTTTGTCTATGTGATGCAGTAACGGCAGCTACAGAATGTAGATATGTTGATAGAAAAGCTCTTCAATGTGTTAAAAAACCACAAATTATTCTAGAAGGAGATGTAGAACTAGCCAAGAAATATTGTCAGTAAGTATTGTTTTTATGTATTATCTTTCATCATAGCTGTGTTATTTTTGTTGAGACAGGACTGGGATTAATTTTGCACAAAGCAAGGTTGGTTCTACTTAACAGAGAATTGCCAAAATGATTTGATGCAGGGTTTCACCAGACCAGACGCTCTTCCTGGTACCCAATTAAGACACTCATGGTAATCAAAGTACACTGGGTGTTTTTATCAAGACCCTATCACTAGGAAGGTCACCATTCAAGTTTTGAAACCTCTATCCTATAGAGAGGAGGAATGGTGGAGTAATGGATAGCAGCTTGGATTGAGGAATCAGAGAGCTGAGTTTGAATTCCAGTCGAATCCATTACATTCACTTATTTGCTAATACCCTTGGGAAAGGTGTGAATTCCCTTCTCCCTCCAGCTATGGGTAAATAGCTGGACAGACTGGGTTCTATAGCTTTGGATGGCAACTGGTCTAGGAGAAGGACAACACTGAATTCAAAACCTGTGGAGGGTCGTTTGGGGACTTTGTGGCACTTAGTACACCAGGTCTCTGTATTCAGCCCTTCAAAAAGTGTGGATGGTCCTGCACGAAACCTTCACCAGTATAATCAAATCTCATGTGCCGTTGTTGGGCTGTCGGTTTCCTAGGAACTGATTTGCTTGACCCTCATACGTCTAATTTGACGGGAGAGTGAATATATATATATATATATATATATATATATATATATATATATATATATATATATATACACCCCTCTTGGTTGTTCCAACAAGATCCAAAGGGGGTACAGGGTATTACATTTGGGGATTGCTTGACTGCAGGAGTTAATGGAGAGTTGACAGCCAACTGCCTTCAGAGCTCCACTCCAAGTTTTTTTTTATCTGGATTGACTTTCATCACCTTTCCCGTGTTTAGATATGACTGCAAGGCAGCGGAGGTTTAAAATTGGCTATAAGGCTCCAGATGTTGGCCTTTCACCCATTCTCCAGCTTGAAGATGCACTTGATTGTCAGTAATGTCCCAGAAGCATTTTATAAATAGTGGGAGATATATATATATATATATTAGGTAACTATAGTCGTCTCGAAAAACCGTCGAATTTTTGATTTGTCAATAATCAAATCAATCTCGATTAAAAAAAAAAGGTTTTAAAAGGCCAGCGATCCGCTTTTTTGAAACATGGGTAGGTTTGTCTGGCTCACTAGGTTTGACTATATATATATATATATATATATATATATATGTATTATGTGTATGTGTGTGTGTGTGTGTGCTATTGAATCCTATAAGAATTACATCCACCCTTTGACAGGTTTAGTTTTTCATCTTTAGCTGGATAGTGTAACAAACAAGTTTTTTCATTAGATGTTCCATGAATCTGTTTTCATGTTCTTTGATCATAGCGTGAACCAAAAAATTATTAAAATCAAGTCCTGTAAAAACCACCTATGGAGTTTGATTGACTGATTTGATTTTTACAGCTTATCAACTCTATTTTCATTCTAAGAATAATTATTTTTGTGTGTGAATATTTCATTAACTACTTTTTGATAATAATAATTTTTTTTTTTTAAGATATAACTCCCACTATTTAACCCATAGTTGGAGAATATAGCTTCATAGCTTTCTTTGCCCATAAGGTAACGTGCTATGGAGTATGGGATTACAGTCTTGACATGATTCTCATTGATGCTGTGTTTTCTGTAGAAAGTAGATTTTTATGGGATGGTGTTATTCAACTTATGCACAATTGGTTTTGAATTCAGAGTTGTCCTTCTCCTAGAATGGTTGCCAACCAAGACTGAAGAACCCAGTGTCCCTAATATTTAACCCTTACCTTTGGTGGGGGAGAAGAGATGTATTTTCACAAAAGTGAATATACCAAATGGAAACTCTTTTCTCTATGAGCTCTTAATCATTTCACCACCACAGATCTGATGGAAAGTACACTTTGTAAAAATTTATGAGATGGTAAGATTTATGATTGTTTGTTGTATAAATATGTAGAATTATAACATTTGTAAGTCTTAATTTGGAACCAGATACTATGTTACTTACTTACCTTTTTTTTTTTTTTTTTTGGTAGTCCTTTTTGCTTTCTCAAATGATCAGCCAAAAGCAATTACTAATCATGTGATCTTTTGCTCCCTGATTGGTAGCATCTGTTAGGGTCCCAGCTATGAGCAAATAGTTAACCCCAAAACAGGGGTCAAAACACTGAAAGTATAGAGATTTTCCAAGCGTTGCTTAGATATGGCACAAGGCTGAAAGTATGGGGCATCCAGTGAGAATCGAACTCACTTTTCAGTAGTAACTGATCTAGCAAGACAAGCTTGCTAACCATTACACCACGCCGAGGTACCCACACTCTAAAAGTATAAGAATAGATCTTTATAGTAAAAATACCATCAAATTTTAATAGTAAAAAAAAAAAAAAATTACCAGCAATAGATTCTTTCCCAAGAAAATTAAATTTTGGCATTAAATGACCTATAAGGCGTTGATATGGCACTAAACCAACAACTCTTAGTATTGGGAATAGTAATAAATCTTTCTACTATGTCCAACAGCAAGGCCTCTGATCAGGAAGTTTTGAGGAGTGTGGAACCATTTCTTAATTGCTGACGTTCCTAGGTCCAACCTGATCTTGGGTGGTAGCACCTGTTAGGGTCCAAGCTAGGGGCAAATAGTTGACACTCAAACTTGTGTAAAAATAGGTTTTAATACCAGAAATACTTTGTAATAAAAAAAAAATATTACCAGCAATCATTTTTGAAGGAAAAATTATTATCAGCAACACTTAAAAAAAAAAAAAAAAAAGTACTAGCAATACAAACAGCTATACATTCTTTGGAAAAAATATTACCAGCTATAGATTTCTTTAAGAAAAAATATTCCCAGAAATAGATTTTTGAAGAAAAACATTACCAACAATAAAAATTTTGTCAGCATTAAATAACCCAGTGAGGTTGATATGCCATAAACCAAACCAAACCAAATCCCAACACTGTTAAAGAAGCTAACTTTGTCAGTGGGGATATTTGATCTTGTGCTGATGTTAACAGTAACATAAGCTGTTTCCTTATAAGGAAGCATTTCATATTCATTGACTGAACATTTGGCATTACTGTCAGTTGAAATTTATTAAAGAAAAAAAAAAAAAAAAGAAAAAACTTTTTTTTTTTTTTTTCAGGAAAATAAACTTAAGTTTACTGTTATCATACTTTTTAGAATTGATGCAAGTTTCTTTATTACCTTAAGGGAGAGATTATTAAGGAAAGTCAATGTCTTGATTCTACCATTACTTTAGAAAATGGAAACAAAGAGGGCACTTAACACTTCACAATGAGACAACTGAAATTTCTAGGGTACATAATGAGGAAAGAAGGCTTTGAAAATATGACACTCATGGAACATACTGAGGACAAGAGAGACAAAAGAAACCAGCACATAGCCTACCTAAGATTGAGTGAATGATTGTCAGAACAGGATTTAGAAGAGATAGAAAGAAAAATTTACTAAGCTACAAAGGACAAGAAAATTTGGAGTGACCTGGCCTATAGAAGTTAGATAGGCTATACATTTTAGTTGTTGCCATTGGTGGAAGTCTGCAAATGATGTGGGTTTTCTTTTTGTTCTTATTCTGTAATTGAGTCTATAAGATCTGATGAAAGACTGTCTTCTGTAAGACCTAGAGGATTCATCTACTTGAAGCCCATTTTAATCGTTGATCTTAGAAAGCAGTTGCTTATAGCTGATGGCTCTGAATGAGGTGGATATCATGCATGACATCCATATGAGACTAGATCTAAGAAAGCCATTATTAAGCAACATGTATTGATTTACTTAGTATAGTAGAATAAAGGGGTTAGTTGTTGAGTTAGGTGTATTGTAATATAACCATCAAGCCCCTATGATACTGGATTAGTGATGCTCAACTATAGGTTGATTGAAAAGTAACCTATTTTATGTATGATGAACTCTCCCATCAAACTATAATTTTTACATCATACATAAAATAGGGAGTTACTTTTCAATTACCCTGTATATAGCTATACATTATTTTATCCCTAAGGATTATATTACTTGTTTTGTCATTCTATTATTGTGCGTTTTTCTCACAACATCCTGGCTTAATAAATTAAATCCTCTTGGAATAAACAAGGCAAAATCTAAAGAGAAAAATAAATTGCCCCTGAAAAGACTTGAACATCTTGGGAATCATGTTCAAGTCTCGACTTTTACTAAAGTAATAATAATAATCATACTTATTATAAAACCCAGGTTGTGTGTGTGTGTCTGTACGTTTATATATTGGATCGGATTTCCTACATTTTTCAACCGATTTCAACAAAACATCACAGGACTATGTAAAATTACCTTGCAGATGGTTCTGACAGTGCCAAAAATTGGAAAAACAATTGTTTTTGCACAAAATCAATTTGAAAACACGATTAAGAGGCTGTCACGAGAATGAAAGGGGGGGCAACTCATATCGAGTCATACTTATTATAAAACCCAGGTTGTTTGTGTGTGTGTGTGTGTGTTCATTTGTTTATATATGGGATCGGATTTCCTACATTTTTCAACCAATTTCAACAAAACTTGTAGGCCATTTTTGAGATCAGCTGCCAATTTGACCTTATCAAACTGATCAAACTAACCTTTAAAATCTAAGTAAATAGTTGTAATCAGTATAGATACCAAATTGATTAGTCTTCAATAACACCACAGTTCTGAGTCTTATGTTCAGTTTTGTATTATAGCATTCCCCTGTTGTGTAACTAAGTACATTATTTTTGCTATTTAGCACTAACATAACAGGGATTTTATATATATATATTTTAAATATTATTTATCTGAACAAGACTGTATAATTTTGTTAAAATTTTCTTTGATTTCAGTGACAATTCATGGCACCGAGTTGTTGACTGCCTCCAAGACCTCATGGATGCCTGCCCTCTTGACACTCCAGAAGGCGAAAAACTACGAAAATACGTAAATGTGGATAATACAAGAAAAAGTGTCAATTATTTATGCGAGAACCTGGGTGGTATGTGTTTACTGTTTTCCTTTTGCTCTATCCACTCTCCCTCCATCTGCTTTTGGTTTTTAACAAGAAATCATTAATTTATCATACACCTGACGTGTACATCATCCCAATGCAAAGGAGTCAAACAAAGCATAATACTTAATAGTTTGTAAGAAACTCTTGTAAGGATACAAAAGGTGATTATCTCCCTTTGATTGAGATAACATCGTATGGGTCACATGATGGCTGCTTAGTGACATCACTTTATGAAGTGATGTCACTAAGCTGCTAGTGATGAAAGTGGCCAGTCTGTCAGTCAGGTTCTGAACATTTGCCTTTTTGTAACCCAAGCTGTGAATAAATCTGCCTTCCCTGGAGAAGCTACTAAAGGGTCAGCTCACAAGCCTGTAGCTCTGTTTTCCTTTGGGAATATATATTCACCAGATATAGAAAGTATCTCCAGCTCAGTCATGCTGTTTTGAAGAACTCATGACTCGCTGTTTCCTGTTTGAGATGAATGTCATTGCTAGAGGCTTAGAAGGTAAATTCAGCCTGCTCAAATCTGGAATCCTAAATATAGCTTCCCTGTGTGTGTATATATATATATATATATAATAAATTAATTGATTTAAACATCCTCAAGCGAATTTTGGAGTAACTTTTAAAATTACTGGGTTTTAAAGACACAGACTCCAAAATTCGCTTGAGGATGAAATGGAACTAATGTCTTTAATTTAATTACAAAATTAAATTCGTAGCTTTTAGCTTCCATTTTTGAAACATGGTTAGAACTGTGTAGCGAAAAAAAACAAACATTTTAAATCAATTAATTTATAATATTAATGCTCTGTAAATTTACATTGAGCACTATTTTGTAAAAATAAAAATATCTATAAGAACACCGGATTATATATCTTACTGTTCTTTCTTATATATATATATATATATATATATATAATGTAAGAATCTTCCAGGCAGATCAAATTCCCATGAGGATTTATTACAAATAACTCTTTATCATTCCTTTTCTTTCAGCTATACTGTTCCATGAGTGAAATAAGGTGTTATTATATCATGGATATAATAATAATACCCATAAGAGGGGAAATGCAAATTGTGAGAATATACCTTTCTTCCATAGTTCACTCATTAACAGATCACCCCACCTGTGACATATTAACCTCCATTACTTTTACTATAAATACCCTGAGTCATAAATTGAGAGAGAACCTAAAGTACAGAATACCAAAAGCAAAGCCCCTAAAATGTTTGGTATTTAATGTCATTGCACATATTTCAGGTAGCAGTGATTTATGTATAACCTGTGACATGAAGTGTAGAATTTCTTAAAACTCTAGTAAAACAAAATTTTTTCTTTGCTTTTTGTTTCTTTACTGAGGTTGGATTTTGAATTAAAGCTTTTGCAACATTCGAGCCCACATGAAGACTTTCTGGTCTCCAGCATTATATTTCCAGCTAATGCTGAGTAATTTGTGTCTTCAATAATAATGAATTTTTTTTCCTCTTTCCACAACAGCTTTTGACAAGCATTCAGGCTGCATCAAAGAGGGTCACAAGGAGATCTCAGTGTGCACAGAAAGAGAAATAAAACGATACGACAGGCAACACAATTCAAAAGAATTGGATAAAATGGAGAGACTTTGTCAGTAAGTCAATTGACCACTTGGTACTAAATATCTTTTGGAAATTGGATATATTTTTGCTTACATGTATTTCTGCCTGAATATTTTAGGTGAGAAATAGGAATAATGTTATTTAAGAGTAAACGACCTTGTATCATACTAGTTATTTGATTGAAGGTGTCAACATGTACCTTTTTAGTGATGGTGAAATAAGATGGGCAACAGTAAATATCCTATAGTGGTGTGGGGCTTTGAGGTTAAAATGAAGACTTGATTTACCCATACCAAGAAGATTAATGAGAGCTGATAAAGATGAGGAAACAAATGTGTAATTTTAACAAAAAAGAGAAAAAACTTTCAAACCTTTAAATAAATTCTGTCAGTAGCTCATTTCAGGAAAATAAATCAGAAATTTTCAAAAATTATTAGTTTTGAGGAAATGTTCATGCAACAGATTAAATAATATTAAAAAAGGTTTAAAGCAAAGGTAAGAGAGTTTGTCACTCACAGGAGGAATATACAGTTACATTCTTTCAAAAGTGGACAAAGAGAGAAAGTTTGAAAAACTTTGGATTGTTGAAGGAAAATATTTTCAAGTGCATGTGATTGATAAGGTCAATAATATAATTGGTGAGTCATCTAAAAAAAAAAAAAAAAAAAATTTTGCATAGGCATTCTACAATCATTTCTTTCTTCTTCGGAACAAAGTCAATTTCTGTGGAGACAAGGTTTTCACAAAAACACTCAGAATTTCTGAATATCCTGTTCCTCCCCTCACATGAACATGTAGCAGGTTTTTAAGAGGGTTATTATTTGATTCTCACAAGGAACACGGTTTTTCTTGCCAATAGTGTGGCCTTAACAAATTAGTTTTGGCCCCAAAACACATGCATATGTCAAGTGCTATCAATGAATAGTAATGTCTTGAAAGAGATTTGTTTATTTAGTTTAATGGATGACAAAGACAAGGTGACGTAAGTGTTACATTTACATATTTTGGACTACAGTCAATTGGAGTATATATTTCAGCCTTATTGGCATTTTGAATGGCCTGGTCAAATTCATGAATAATTCAACATTATTAAATTATTATTATTATTCTCGTTCACACTTGTTCACTCACATACTCTCATGTAATCCCATACATAAACATTAAGTACTAAGCTTCTTGCATTTTAGAGTTTTTTTTCAATAAAGAATATTATAATTTGAAATACCTTTTTCTTCCAAAACCAGAAATTTTAATGCAAATTTTTTTTTTTTTTTTTCTCTGGAGAAAAAATATAATTTTTTAAAAAAATGTTTTGTTCTAATTTATTCATTGGACAATGCAAACCACAAACAATCAGCATATGTTAATCCCTCTGTTATATTTCTAAGGTAGATTCTTATTTGCATAGTCTTTTGTTGTGAAAATGTCTGCAGTATCATTACCTTTTTAGTAGTACGGCCAACCTTATTATGAACCTTCTCATGGGGCCCACTGTTTGAAATATGTGGTACAATTTTAGTATTTATAAAATTGTAATTGTTTTTTTTTTCTCTTTTCAGGTTCACGAAAATTGCCTTTGAGTGTTTTGAGAAAGTTTTAGAATACAGATGTGGACCAGAATCTAATAATTTTCTTTTCAACGTGATGACTGGTCTTTTGCCCACTGAGTGTCAGGAAATTGGGAGTGCCACCATTCATCTGCCATCAGGGTGGACTTTGCTTCTCATTTCCCTGGCTAATGTGTTCCTCTATGTTGCAGAGCAATCATGAAAGTAATAAGGTCCAAACAGATTATGGCATTTTTAGCAAAGTCATAAGAACATCTCATTATATAGCAAGTTACTTATCCTTGTTATATATGTTCAAAATGCTACGTTTGGAAATTTTTCCACATTCTTCATTATTGTCATCATTAAACACAAGAAATGGATCTTCATATTCTTCTTTCTCTCCTGTTTCTCTATTTTTTTCCATATTTATTTTGTTTTCATCTTTTGTTTCTTGTTTTTAAAGAAAAACCAACAAAAATATTTTCAAATCTTTTTCTTTTCAAAATGAGAGAAAAAAAAAAAAAAAAGTGCTTCAAATTTTTCTTAGTTACGATTTTATTAACATATTCCACCTCAAGATGAGTGAAAGATATTATCACATATGCAAAACAAATAGATTGTTACTAATCAATATTGTTATCTACACTTAGTGAATGAAAATTAAGATATAACTTTCAGTTAGTTCTTTAAAAAGAATTGCAGTAAAGCTCTGACAAAATGATCAGAATTTTTTAAGATTTTAAAGAAAATATTTTACAAGAAAGATTTTAAATGATTTGATTTAAAAGAAATTTATTTATTGTAACTTCTGAATTTGCCATCAATATTTATAGAAAAATGTATCAGGATTTAATTTAAATAAATGTCACTTGTAAGAATTTCCAGTTATATTTGTTGAAATAATTCTTAAAGTAATTATTTTCTCCCAATCTGTATTTATTTGATTTCTTTTTTTCTTATTTTTTAATACTGATTTTTTTACAAATATTTAATTTATGTATGCAAAAGTGATTTTTCTACTCAAATTTATTTATTTTTGTTGGAGGAATATAAATGATCACTATTCTTCCTATTAAAAATCATTTTTTTTTTTTTTTTTTTTTTTTTTAATATTCATTAAGGATATAGATTAAGGATATAGGTATAATCCTTGATCAATTTTTGTCTCCTCTGGGTAATCTCACCAATATCTTGCCATTTCCAAGACGAACCAAAAGAAACAAACTTTTTTTTTTTTTTTTTTTTTTACCAACTAGCCTTTTAGAACAATATTTTACTTAAGGTGTTATCTTCCTTATGTAATTTTTTTTTTCTTCCTTGCACCCACATTTAAAAAAAAATAAATAAATAAAATAATTGTAGGAGTTTGTTTTGACTTGGGGATTTTATTCTAAAATGTTCATTCCATTTCTCTCTGTTTTCATACAATCAGGAGAAACTTTTTTCTTCCCCCCCCCCCAAACAAAAGTTGTTTGCTTTCATCATTAGTTTCTCTGCTTGCTTCATTGTGTTTAATGATTGGTCTAGTAAATGAAATACTACCTTCGTCCTGTTATATATGCAAATGTAACAACTATATTTTATGTAATAATTAGTGGACAGAGATTGTATATATTTCTTCATAGAACTGCTTTTTCTGTTTTTGAAAAAACATCTGCCCATTTGAACCTATTTTTGAGTGTTATTTTTATTTATTAATATTACTTATTGTAAAATCCCTCTCCTGAAATTGTGCTAACCTCATATTTAAATGATAGTGTATTTTTTTTTTTTTTGTCTGTAAAACCATATGAAATGAAAATAAATATTGATGAATACATTCTTTCCTGTACAATGTGCATATTTAACAGCTGCTTGAATTTTTGCATATGTAATGATATATTTAGCATTATTCTGATTCCAAAGGTTGTAAGGCTGTTAAGGAATTTTTTTTTAATGTGAAAGTGTGGATAATTTTGTAAGAGTATCTCCCATGTAGTTTTCTTTTTTAAGAAAAACAGATGAGATAGATTTTTTACAAAAATAGTAATGATTAACAACAAATATTTATTTATAAATGAATAATTTATATTCTCTGAATTTTAATTTTACACATAGTATAACATCACCAGTTAGTTGTTTAATATTAATGCTTCAGTCATAGAATTTATATAGTCAGATGCTGCTTCTTTTTCTTTCTCACAACAATCTTTTTAGTCCTAGAGCAAATGGTATGAAATCAGAGCTACAAATCTTATTCTCACAGACAGAACATTACAAGCATATTGTTACTCTATCACTTGCTTTTTTTTTTTCTATGGCACATTCAGATGAGATTCATTCTTTAGTTTCACCAATTAAGTCTTTTTACAACTAGGACATGCTATGCCACTTCCACAGACTCAAATCACCTTCATTTCCTCTATATTCTAAATGTATAGAGAAAGTTCCACTCCTCTTTTTTTCTTCCCGCAGTAGGACCTACAATCTCACTTCAGTCACTTTGCCTGGCACCATAACATAGCTTCCCTGTCCCTTTTCTATAAATATTTTCATGGTAATTGTTCTGATGAACTTTACTCTCTGGTACCAAGATTTTATGAATTTAAAAATATTACTACATTAACAGCAAGGTCTCATCATTTTACAGTTGAAATGGCTAGATGTAACCATATGCTAACAGTTTCTTTTTGAGTACTTTTCACTTGTGGAACTCTTCCAACTGTCTTAATTCTTGTTCTTTTATTGTTTTCTTTTCCTCCTATTCTCTCACACTCATTAAACCCCCTTGCATCTTAGTGTTCAGGAAAGCACTTATGTAGCAGTCTTGACCTTTTCAAATGAAGGGTCAATTGTTATCTATCTTCCTTATCTTCATTTTCTACTACCTTCTTTTTCATTCATATCACATTCATTATTACTATTTTAACAGTAACACTCTACCTTCAGTAGCTATAGATCCTTGTATTAGGTGAATTTTAGCATGAAAAGTACCTCACAAATTTGTCTTTCATGGTTGATGGATGTCACTTAAATCAATACATCTTCTGCAGACAACACAAATATATGATCAATGTTTCATCCATTTCTCTCCAATATTAGTAGAGGTACTAGGCTAGAAAGAATATTCCAAGTTTCCATTTCCTCATTATAGGCATTAATATATCTGCGATATATGAACTTAAAGCAACAGACTTTTATATCAATATATATACATACATGTCACAAATTTGTTCCACAGAGAAATTATAACATGTATACAACAAGCAGTGTGAAAATGGGTGAAAAGTGAGAGGGTCTTACTTGTAATATTTCCCAAACAGAAAATAAGCAAGCTGGTGGTATTCTCTGAAACAATGTGGGTTACTCTGAACTTCAACATGCATTCACCATGTTAAATAGCAACTGGTGTTCAACATTATGAACTGGTATCACTCTCCTGCTTTATGTAACTGTCTCAATCAAAGGGAGATAATCCCCCTTTGCATTCCTACATTGTAATCTCCATTGACATGGAGGATATGATTTAATTCATCTTCAGAATTTATACTATTTCCAACTACACTGTTTGCTCTGACTTCTGAGTCAGTCAACTCAGACTGTTATAAATAGCTAAAATAATGGTAATATTAACTATTTCCTTATAAGGTAAGATTCAGCATACATTGACTGAGTAACTAGTGCTAATCTAGTTACACTTCATTCCTTGGCCATCAGGCTGGGATCAAAGTATAGTATCTGTTCTCATTTCATATGGTAATATGAGCTGTTTGCTTATGAGGAAATATTTGGCATTCATTGACTGAGCAGCCAGTGCTACCATCAGATGAAATTAATAAAATCTTTCTATTAAGACAATTCTTTAGGAAAATGCATTTCTCAAGTTCAGTAACTGTTATTGCTATTTCCAGTATTGATGAGGCTTTCCTTCCCAACCTTTTGTTTGAAATAATGTGGAACGTCAAGATCTTATTATTTTCTCTTCAAGTTACATGTGCTATCCATTTTAGTTGGTGCTGTGGTTGAAAGCCCTTAACTAAAGCTCTAAATAATGAAGAGCGTATCAATGCAGCCCTGTGACAAAACAATTTTGTTTTTAATCAACACCCAGCAAGGGGATAATGCCACTCTAGATGCAATTAATTGGCTACTGAGAATAAGGATACTTTAGAAGGAACTAGAAACCCAATCCTGAACAGAAAACTAGGGATAAACCTCTACTCCTGTTCAAAGGACCAGGGAGGAGTGTGAACAGGTTATAAATTTGCTTATCTACACCCATTAAGGAAAAAAAAAATAGCAAATTAAAATTTCTGAGTTTTGCCAGAGACATTGGAAATATAGTCAAAGTAGATTTTAGAAGGCTCCTAAACAAGGGATAAACCTCTACTGTTCAAAACAAAAAAAAAAAAAAAAAAACTGAGGTGGAGATTGAAGCAGATTGTGTAAATAATAACAAAATTTAACAACATAAGACTCAGTTTAGTTACTTCAAATTTTTCTGTTACACAAGATATAAATAAATTATTCACCAAAATGTAAGATTAACTCAGTTGTAATAGAAATATTCAACATTAAGGTTTCTATGATCTAACAAAGGTTTCCCTCTGCCCAAGTGGACACAAATCTCTCAAATATTCAGGCTGGTAGACTAAAATACGTAAATATACTGCTTAATAAGTACATGGAGCATCTATTCAAATAAGAGTATCCACTAAAAGATAACATTTAAAATGAGATTATTATATATATATATATATATATATATAAAATATAGTCTTAAGGTATGCTATATTTATGGGTTAAAGTGCTCAATATCATGGATAGAGTGTATGTAAATATAAAGGTGGACATTGAAGTTAACACCCAGAGGCAACAGTCTGTTTCATGCTAAATGCAGTTATCAGGCCATGTGTGTTGTTTTTGCTCGACTTTATATATAGGTCAGTGTTGAATTATGGGTAGTCTATTGTATTATTCTAAGGCTTATTTTAGTGGGCATGGTTTGTTAATTTGTTTATTATTTACTTATTTGTTTTGATTAATTTATTTTACTTGCTTTTATTTATTTTCATTTATTCTTGTTTGTTTTCAGTTTCAAATTTTTAAATATTGTAGTAAAAATTTTTTTTTTTTTTTTCTGCATTTTGAGATGAGTTCTGATCATTTATTTAATAGTTTGTTTTGGGCTAGAAAGGTAATTATAGCTATTTTTTTTTTCTCCAGGCAGTTTACAGTTTT